AAAAAAAAAAAAAATATGACGCCTTCTGCTATTGCCTTTTACCTAAACTTAAAATATAGCTTAATTAAAAAGAACAAAAAAAACTGCAATACCTGCTAGAGAATATTACACCTAACAATCAGACAATTAATCCTCAATTCCGTTACTTACAATTCTGCTTTAATAAACGCAAAGAAATTTATATAAAAGACGAACAGTAAATCATAATTTATCAAAAAGTTATCATTTGGATTTTAAAAAAGCTTTTGTTTAAGCAGTAATTTGTTGTCGTTCACAACTACTACCTTTATGCAAATTAAGAATACAAGATAAAACAGTAACTTCTTGTAATGGATGAGAGAAAGAAGGAATACTTCGGAAACTGATAAAAATTCAGGACAAATAACGATAACTTGATAAGACTAGATTAAATTTTAGGACCGAAGAAGTGAAAGCAAAAGTTCGATTTAAGCAAAATCAACTAGCAAGACTGTGGAAATGAAAAATCTGAGCCTTAAAATAGCAATTTTAATGAAGGTTTTTTTTTTTGCAAACTGTATCAAATTACGATATACAAATGCCGATAATCAAAGCATGAGTATGTATATCTATAAACTGAGATTTACAAGCGTACTTATGAAAACAAAGTAATGAAAAATACTGGAAGTGAGGAATGCTACATAAAACAAAGAGCAACAGTAAACTTTAAAAAATTTATTTTATTTCTTCAAAAACATTCGAAATAACATAATGCAAATAATGCAAAAATATCTTAACAAGAAAATACATCAGAAAAAATGCAAAATCTGATTTATCATTAAAAAATTTGTACTTTTGAACTTCAAAGAAATTTAAACTCTCTATTCCTTACGAATATTTGAATACTGCAAGCAAGCAATGTGAGAAAAAAATAGGTTGCTAGAAACACTGAATAAACAAATCTTGAATGTTCATACTAAATCCCATAAAATTTCGGTAATCTCTGCAATTAAAAAAAAAGCAATACTATTAAAATAATACCAGCTGGATTTCAATTGAAGTGATTAGTACCAAATAACAACAAGGTATTAAAGGGGTCTATTTAGAAGTGCCCTCGATAAAAATCCGGGCACAGAATGCAAAAATAATTAATACAACAAGGTGTTACCATGTTGTTTCCAATTTATTGCTTTTTAATTCTTGATACTACTAGAGTATGGGAGTTACTTTGAACGTTATTTTGGATTCCTCCCTGATGAATTTAAGATTTTGAGTCAACTATCTTCTTTATCAAAATTCAAAGTAAATACAACGAGAACAGCTTGAAAATGATAACTTAAAGGAATTAAGTAAAAACTTACCGTGATTTTTATCATCAAAAGCTACTATTTTTCGAAAACTCCCGTCGGATAGAACTTCCTCACTGAAGACTGCATTCCAATCTCAACAGCTGTATCAATTGGTTTCACGATGAATGGAATTATACACAATCCCAATATTGTTGACGTCAGTTTTTGTATTTTCAATGGCCACTTCGTTGACCTTTAAATTATCAATAGTTGCAACATAAATTTTCATTCAAATAGAATGAATCCCTGTCTTAAAGAACTATATCGCAAAAAAGTTTCGTAAGTATCCTCACCTAAACTCAAAGTATAATGAAAATGCGTAAATGTTATTTTCATCAAATATCAGATTTGTCAAATACAAAGTATTGCATTTTATACTCTTCAATCATTTATCATTTATCTGTTACGTTGGCAATTAACACATATTTTAGCATTCCTGTATTTTTGTGTATCATATACTTTTTCAGAAACTGAAAATAATCAAGCATAAATTTTTGCGCAGATAACTAACCAACTAAGCAATTTAGTGGATAAATAGCAAACGCGATTGATCATAAATCCTGGGATGATAACAGATGCCATACTTTGCCAAATCAATGTATCGATAGCTCGAAGAGCAACAGCTCGAGATCGTTCCTTACTGTTCAGATAATTTAACTGAAGGTAAAATTAAAGAAAAAAAATTGTTACTGAACTGCTACATATATGAAATAAATAAAATTATTAATTAATCAGTACAGACAGACATTTCCAATAAAGCTGATGTCACCCCTCCGTAAGTTCTTATAATGCGAACTGTCCAGTTTCTATTAGTTTTCTACAAATAGTTTAAGTTATGCAAATAATTCAACCTGATAAGTTTTTCGACTTTTATTAGCTGTGTCAGAAAAAACATAACCCATTGAAACGACATATGATAATCGAACTGCATTTGTCGGTACCCAAGCACGAAATGCTTCGCCAATTTCATTTGCATAGCCTGAATAAAGTTACAAAAACCTAAACAATAAATAAGAAGAATTATTCCAAATAACGACAATATAAATTGAAAGTAAATCTGTAGTTCGTAACAAACAAGTTCACCAAAATTTTTTATAAACTTTAGAATAAAGTAAAAAATATTATTTTCAGTGTCATACTAACTATTCTAACTACCTACAACATATCTGAGACAACCAATCCAGTACAGTGAAGATATATCGATGTTGTAGAACATACCAAGAAATCGTATTGGGGTATCGCGATAGATGTCCACTTCACGTAAATCTTCCTGAGCTTTGTCATAAATTGTTAGTTTATCCATCATTGATATTGGATTAAATCCTGAAATATTTTGAAGATCCCATCATTCAAGTCCAAATAATTATATAAATAACGTAGTATGGATCGCAGAAGTCGACAGCTTCATGTAAATAATAGGATAAAATAATAACTTCAACTACCTTTATGATACCTCATAACATGCACCGCTGAATGATTAGTTCCTCAATGACAGGGATGATAATTACCGATCAGAATATTCCAGTAAAACAATTTACAAAATAAAACGATGAAGAGCGGCATTTTCATGAAAATAATTTACTAAACGTTCCAGGTCGTTTTTACTATAAGCTTAAAGTCCATCAAGAAAAATAAAAAACACATCACGATAGGCTGCATTTTAACATCATTCTTAAAAGCTATATCGCATACATATAGCTGATGTAGTATTCCACTCGAAAAAGCTTCAATGATGATTATTCATCTACACCATATATCATAATCATGCCACTATAATACCTAATATGACATCCATGTATTCAAGCTTACGTGAAAACAATCACTTCAATTTAGCGTCGAAAATGTGCATTGTTATAATGTACTGTATCCATTGTGCATATTATATGATTTCGTAACATACGTCTAGAAGTGATATTTCACGTATGTTCTATTTTATAGAAATCGGTATCACTTAGCCACTGAAAGTATAGTTGAATTCCATGTCATCCAGCACGAATCAACAGTTGCACAGAAATGACGTACAGATACGTTTTCATTCATTCAGGAAACGTCAAAATTATATATCAGCTGCGTATGGAACTGATGCGATATACCAATAAAAAATTATTACAAATTATCACTATTTTGTTTCTTATTAATCAATCGGTAATGTTTTAAGTTTCCTGCCAAAAACTGCTAATGTACCACAAATTTCACAATAAAATATATGTGGGTAGGCTTTATGTTAGCGTAAACAGTTTAATGTGATGAGATGTGAAAGCTAAAAATTATCATCCCATGATTAAGAAAGTCTATCGGTACGATAATTAACGAATAACTATAATCAATCGAATGTAAGATTATTTCTTCCTCACTTCAAACCGCGCATTTTTTTGAGAATTTAAATGAACTGCACAGGTAAAATGAATAGTGAAAAGAAATGATTTGCTAAATTGTGTTATAATCTTGAAAATATTTGCCCATGATCAATGCTGATCGTTGTAATTCCTGGAAAACTAAAATTTGCGGACAAACATACACAAAAAGAGGACGAATAGTAGTGCACCGCCCTCATTAATATATCTTCACATGTTTTGTAGGAAACGTATTTAAGTTTTTGGAAAACGAATTGTTTGGCGCAATGAATGACAAAATAAATTTCGCAAAAATTCATTCAAATCATAAGGAATCCGAAATATTTACAAATAACCAAACAAGTTTGAAAGAAAGCTATTTTTCAAAATCTCAGAAAAACTGATTCGCAGCAAAATTTAACTTTCTAAAAAACAGGCAAAATTAATGCAGATGTCAGTAATAACCAAATATGGCTTTCAATATTGGAATTAAAGATCATTCGTTTCAACTTTCCATTTTTTTCCCTGTATGGTCAAATTTCAGCTTCCCCTCGCAATTCATCGAACTTTTTTTTGTATAGCACTGTTTCAAAATGTCAAACAGTTAAGAGACAATTTTCAAAAAAAAAAACAAACTGAAAATTAATTGTAGAAGTACCATAGAATAAAAATTGACTATAAATGATACCATAGAATAGTTCACACAAAATGTTACCAATTAATGAAATATAAATGTTTTGAAATGAAATAAGTCAGTAAATATGAAAAGTTGAAAAACATTGGTTTCGAATGGCTGTGATCAGGATATGCTCATACCTTGTTAACACCGAGGCAGCGCATATAAAATTCCGAGGTATACTTCTGATGAAGTAAGTCAAAGAAATATGTGAAAATCAGGGAAATGAGGTAATTAAGTTAAATTTCATGCTGCAAAAAGAATTTATAATTTCCCATCTTTTGTTCTATCAACAACTGACTAATGAATGAAGCATTCGTTTTTCATACTAGAAATGTAAACAAATTAATAAGTGAAAGTTTAAGAATACAGATTCAAGTTTTATGACCAATTCCTGCACAACTAACAATAAGTTCAGCCTAAAATTTTTCTACTCCAGATCTGCGAAGATTAAAAGTCACTGTGTCCTAATATTTATGTTTCATATGAAGCATCATTTCAGGCAATAAGAATTGAAGATTCAGCTATTCAAATATCTTAAGACAAATATTTGACCTAAACATACAATTGTAAATTTCTCAAGTGCTTCTAAAATAGACTCAAAATCACTCTCCGAATTGCTTCTAAAAATGAAAATTAAAAAGAAAATGCAGCAGAGATCGAAAAAAACTAACTCACAGGAAAATTTCACGGAATAATCTAAAATCCAAAATGAAACAACAAAGTGTTTGAATAGTAATATAATCAATGGAAAAGAGAAAAATGAAAACCCACCGAACCGCTCCATGTATTTCTCTAAATTCTTCGTTCAATAATTTACTTAACAATTAGCTAAACCTATAAAATACACTATCCATGACAAAATTCCGGTTTGTATTAAAAACACACAAAAAAAAGCCATCCAGTTCCTTCTGATTTCGCTTCAGTTAGGTATGTATATAAGTTAATACATCACCTTACAGCCTTTCTCCACAAAGATAGTGCAACATTTCGTATCATAAGATCAAAATATTAAACATATATCATCAGTAACCTCCCTTCATCCACCTTCTGCTCTAACTTCTTTCTATAAGCGTATTTCGTATTGATTTCCAAAAATTAGTTTGACCTTTGCTTTAGCCAGCTATTTGCAATCTTCCCTGCTTCACGTAGACCACTTACACAAGCACCAGTCATTGTTTGCGGAAAGAAACGATTCGTTCCCTGAAAAATGCTTTTAAATCAAATTGTCGGATAGAAAAAAAATTAGATATGGTTAAATATGTATAGGAAAAGAATAAATTTCAATAAAAAATTGATAGGAACAATAAAGCATGAAGTGAAAAACACATGATTTACGAAGGATGACCTAATTTTTTTTACCCACTTCATGCCAAAATAATTAAAAAAGATATACTTCTCCAGCAAAAAACAGTTTTCCATCAATATCTTCTGCCAATCTATCATAATCATCGCCACTGCCACCCACTCGAACATAAGTATATGACATACCGATATGACGATCCCGGCCCCAATGTGTCACAACATAACCTTCTGGATCTGGGATATTCTAGAATTCGAAAAGTTCACTTATTGCGAAAAAATTGGCGAAATTGATATTTGTCACGTGAATACGCATATTGTTTAACAAATAAAATAAACAGTGATGCATTTAACTTCGTATTTCATAAATCCCTCTGTCATACTTGTATGATAGACAAGATTTAGAGGAAGTACTTATAAATTATAACCATATAAAATGCAATCCGAAAATTTTGACGTACTATTTACAAATTACAAAAAATTAGAGCAGCTTCAGTCATTGCTATTGAATAAAGAAAGTAAACCTCTTGCGGAAACATATCACGCAGAGTATCCACAAAAATGTCCACCACTTCCACATCACTTTTTTCATTCACTAAATTCACCGAGTCGCCACACACATAGGACATTAGAACATAATGGTTATTCTTACTTCCCTAAAAAGGATTATAAATGATTTTGCAATCTCTCAGCGCTTTTGTCACTAAATATATACAAAATATACTTCAGTAATCACGTATGTTTTTGTCAACGTCAAATTTTTTGTCAAGCGTCAAACTCATAAATTCAAACAACAAGTCCCAGGTTCAGAATTTTGCATTAAGCAAAACTTAGCATTTGTCTAGTGCCCTTCGTCAATAATGTATTAGTTTATAAAAAAGAATTCGGAACAAGAGAGTGTAAGGACGAATAACGATAGTAGCAACTGAGAAATTGATATTTACACGGGTTGAAAAATCGTAGAACATATTGAAAAGTCCTCTTTCATCAGCACTTTTTGGTACATGACCAAAGTAATCTAACGTTCCGTCACTTTTTAGAATGGACAACCAAAAACGTCGCGGAAATTTCACGGCTACCTAAAGTTTGTATATAACTGATTAAAAAAAAATCTAGTAAATTACGTGACATCAAAATTTAAAAATATTTAAATTTATATCATTACAGAAGCAAACCATCACTTCATAGGAAATTAGAATCCTTTTTCGTTTTTAAAGAAGTAAAATTCAAACCTTTTCTATTAGACCCGCACCTAAATTATTTAGAGCTGTCATTTTTGCTTGCGGCAAAGCAGGAACAAATGTGATTAATTCTTTTTGCAACACAGCTACTGGAGTAGTTACCAAAACCTCAAATAAAAGAATAACTGTTTAACAACACATCACTGTTCCCATGTTTTTTATGACTAATAGTGCTGAATGAATAATGAAGTTGAGAATGGACTTTCGAACGACAGAAAATCAAATCAAAATTTTCAAATGTTAAACAAGATTAAAAGTTTGAAGAGAACCATCAAACTAAAATAAAAACTGCAAGAAACCTTGTCACATGAGTACTTTTTTCCATTACTGCATTTGACGAAAATTTTCTTCCGTCCCAACCATTCAATTCTTGAAACCTAAATAAATTTCAAAAAATTTTTAAGGGCTTACTGGAGCCTATACAGGAAAAGACTTTTCCAAGAAGTGTAACTTTAAAACTGCTTGTCGAGAAACTGAAAATTATCGATGAGAAGACATGAATAAACATAATATATCAAACTCGCTTTAAATATTTCGCTGAAGCACCTTGATTTCTTATAATTAATCAATAAGAAAGGTTCATCGATTTTAACCGCGCTATCAATAATTTCAAAAGCGATAGGAAAGACTGACCTCATGATTACACCGAATATCGGTACCTTCTGCTAGTCGACGCATTAGTTCGGAGGTGCCATCAGTTAGTAAAGCGTGAACACCAGCAAACTGCGCCACTGCTTCATTCTGATCCCAGTTACGAGCCGAAACACCGTCCAACTTTGAGCCACATGAGAATTCTACGTTACCTATCTGCCACTGTAGCATACGCTCCTCCTCCTGATTTGATTAGAATGTTAAACATAAATTTTTCTACTTTCTTATTTCAATATATTTTTTAAATAAATTTAAAAATGATAAGTCGAAAAAAAATGAAAAAGTGAAAGAGAATGGACTCGATGCTCCCGTTTAGAATGCATCCAAACATGCATTTCTGCCTTTTTGCTAAGCTTTAATTTGTCAAAACTTTCTTTTGAGGAATAAAAGCAGGGCATAATGGATGAGAACAAATGCACTCAGTCAATAACTAGTCGCGGCAAAAGCCGAACTCCAGCCAGCCGGATTCGAACCAGCGACCTAAGGATCACCATGATGCACACTCTACAGTCCTCCGCTCTACCAACTGAGCTATGGCTGGGAACAAACGATTCGCCTTCTAACAAACTTTCATGGGTTTAAACTTTGCAAAGTTTGAATTACAACTAATACAAGTCATTATTTATTCACCTTGTAAATAAGCCACATGTTGCAAGTTTTAAAAATACGAGAACTGGTGAAGATAATGAGATATACAAAAAGAGGAATAATTTAAATTGTATAACCAAAAAATGTTTAAAGCAGACCAAAACATGACAATCAATTGATTGACCAAAATCATCACATGCTTTAAAAAATACTAACAAAATAAAGCAAATAGGAGCTTCCTAAAGTAACTGCAAAAAGTTCGAATAGATTCATAAAAAGTAAACCAATTTACGCCATTAAACTTTTATTCCTATCTTCAAAAAAAATTTGAATTAAAATGAAATCGATAGAAAGAAGAAAGCACCAACCTCAGTCCATTTCAATCCTGTCGTTTTTAGGAATGCGTTATGCAAGCTCATTAAACGATCTGAAAATAATCTGGAAAGATTATAATGCGAAAAAAATGTATTTCATCTCGTACTGCATGGAAATGTTGTGACAGTGTATAAAAGAAATGCCTTAGTTTCTAGAACCATTCGTTTTTACATATTTACATGTGATGTAATGTTAATCAAATCAAAAACTCAGCAGCAAGTGTAAGAGTCTCTATTAAGCTTTCCAAGTATATAGAGTGAACTTTATGTTTATCTTGGGAAGCTTAGTAGGAGACTTGTTTATAAAACAATAATACCGCACTTTAAAAACAATCAATTTCTTCCAAATAATATCTGATCATTACTTAATTTGGATATGAATATTATGTGAGAATTACCGTATAGACTTTCATCACCGACTTTTACATTCTGCTTCCAGTCTGCTAAACAATCCAACAAACAGTTAAAATGTTCATCAACAACTCGATCACAAATACTCGATGCTCGTTTTCCAGTTCCCGCATCCAACAACGGACATTCGTCTTTCACCGCGCGATAAACAACACCTATCTGCAATTTTTATGCCTAACCAAATTTTCGCACTTACTAATTCGCAATCCATTTTTTTTTTCATTATCTAGAAGAAAGAGGACACTTATATAAAGCTAATGGCAGTGTGATATGCTTTTCAGAAGAACTAGAAGTGAAGAAATAAGGCAACCGAAAAACAGTGTGACGTTCTCTGCTAGAAACCTCAACTAATAAAAATACTTCCGAAAATTCCAGTAAAACTGTACGATTTTACTGGAATTCTTTAGAAGTCTAGTAGTTCTAAGAAGTGTATAAATTTCAAAAATTAATTTCGCATAAAAATTCTAGTCCTCTCTATTTTTTTAGAATTTATAAAAGAAAAAGAATGCAAATTGACCTGTTCGCACATTAGGACAATCGGGTTGTTAATAATTCCAGTGATAAGTTGCGCACCGCTGCCAACTGCAACACCTAGTGACCAATCATCCTGCAGTTATTGATTTCATTTTATTTGAAAACGGTAATAAAGATCGTGAGAAGTTAAGAATTAAAAAAGTAAAAAGCGAAAGTTAATAACAATTCAATAAACTTTATGAAAAATACTCCATAAAATTCAAAGAATGTATTTACACTGATTCACAAATTACCATTCATTACGATAAAATTTTATTACGGAAATCACCAAACTCCAGCAAATTCTTATGCAATTCTTCGAAAGGACACATGAAGTTGCTTAATAAAATTCACTATTGGTTGGAAATTCACTACTACAAGTAAACTTTAGAAAGCATCTTAAAATACTTGTAAGCCTCAAACTTCATGCTTCAAGGAAAAGAATCATTGAAATATTACGAGTCTGGCAAAATATAAAGGAATTCAGTATAGCTGAGTAGTTTAGCTTCCCTAACTTAGCAAGTTTTTTTCGGAATTCTTTAACTTTGAATATGAATAAAAATAACAAACCAATAGTCGTCCACCTAATTTTCCCTTTGCTTCTAGAACCTTTACTCGAGCACCAAATGAACGAAGCTGTCGAGCCGCAGTTAAACCACTGATCCCAGCTCCAACAATGATCACTTCCACGTCCTAAAAAATTTCAACTTGGAAGAAAGAAGAAAATATCGTCAAAAACAACTTCGATTGGTGCCGGAAATTTGGAATTGATAATATTATGCTCTCAGCAGCGGTATCATCAACTAAACAATGATATTAATCGTTTGCAATAAAAAATAGCTAAATAACTTACATTATATTTTGATGTAAGCACTGAAGTTTTTGGGAAATTTAACACACCATAATTGATGAGAGACTTGAGACTAAGAAAATTGATGACTCGATTTAATTCATTAATATACCAAACTCGTGCAAGACCGCGACAAATAAGGTGCGGAATACAGCATTCCACGGTTAAATATTGCTAAAAAAACCAAATTTCCGAAACTTCACAGAATCCAATACAAAAAATGGGCATTATGCATATTTAATAGGCACAATTTATAATACAAATAATACAGTGTTCTGAATTTCTTGGATTGAAATCCGTTAAATTTGAAAAAATATATTTTATAGAACTCACAAATGGATTGAGATTCCATAATGCAATGACAAGATTTCGCATAGCCAAATAAGCAACTGGTTCGGTAGCATATTCTGGGAAACTGTGTAATTCATCATACTCCATAACATCCGGTCGTAAACAAAATGCCATCGACTGTTCATGTGGAATATTGAATGGTCGCATAAAGCCCCGTACTGCGCCTTCTCACCAAATACAAATTTATCACAATTAAAAAAATCATTATCATAAGAATTATAATTAAAGAGTTCGTTAGACGAAACGATAATATAATGTAATAACAGTGGATAAACTATTTGATAATATCATAAAATTATGCATAACACTAATTATTAATGTTGTGGGCAGTGATAATTATAAATCCTAACACTACTGTTGAATAATTTCTTTTTTTTATTAAAGACGGTTTACTGGAACTAGGACTAGATTTCTATACTTCCTTATGACAACTCAACAACTACCTAACGATCCGAAATTAAAAAAAAATTCCACCATCCAAAACTGATTTTTTATACTTTCCAACAGAATTTTTCCTTAAAATTCAAAATGAAATTGAAAAGAATTACCACTTTGATGCTCGAATATTTCATTAGTAGGACTAATTCCTACTTCATCATAGTAATATTCATGTCGCAAAAAAGGAGCTGCCGGTGAATTATGCAATAAAGGTGGAATACTGACCGACTTTATCCATAACGTTTCGGAAGCCTCTTGGACACACTGAAAATTCGCTTTAACAAACCAAAAATTAAATTTGTTCCAATAATTTAAGAGTAATAAAATGCGTGATATAAATTAGAAAGATAATGAATACACTAAGTTCCAAAAAAATGAAAAAGCCAACACAGTACCTCTTCTTCCTTAACGTCACAGGGATCGTTTGTGTCACCTTTATTCGCTTCGGTTTGACTACCACAAACAAATCTCTCGACATCCTCGCGACTTATGCTTCTCACAGTAGTTGGTAAATGCCTGAAAAAGTTTTAGTGAACGTTTGAATTCTTAGTTCCAATGAATTTAATGTAGAATGGAATTTAACTTTATTTTTACTTTGATAAAAACTAGCCGCAATCCTTAAAAATACATCCTATTCACAAACAAAAAAAAATCTTTCTTCAGTAAATTATTCTAGAATCGCCATAATGAAGGAAAAAGTGTAAGAACTTGCCTGAACTTGTTGCAAAGTTTGCACTGCAACCAAAATGGAAGTAACTGATCCTGAATGTATAGTCGTACACATGGAGTGCAACGACTTTCAGAAGCCCATTTTCCTTTCCACTCATTAAAACGATCATTACCTGTTCGACCACTAAATGCGTTTCAATTAATTATTCAACAAAAATTCTGTCTTGTGAGAAATAATTTAAAATTATAATAGTGTAACTAAAAGCAATATTAAATTAGAACTTACGGTTTCCATATTTCATCATAACATGCGCAACAAACATGCTCGCCTTTCGAAATGTGATGAAAAGTCTTGCTGCAATTTCCATCTGTATGTGTGCTTCCACCATTTTCACGTCTATAGCACCTGAAACACGTCAAAATTATAAGAAAAAATGGGTGGAAAATTTTCTGCAAAGTCTATAATCCACAATCAATATCACGTAATTCTCAAGAAATTACAATTATTTTCATCACAATAACGCATATATGAAATCGATTTTAAACTGGATGCTAAAAAGCCAGCATTTAGTAAAACGTATAGACTGTTCGTTAAATATAAAAGTCCTTTGAGAAAAAGTTAGATGATTAACTGCTAAACTGTTCTATTTGACCTATTCACATGCCAAACTTATTCCGAAAAAAAATGAAATTAGCTTACATGGATGAAACATCCAAAGCACACTTTTTCAAATGACCACAGTCATTACGTTCACAAGAACCCTCTCTTGATTCATTCGATTCTGAACCATTCTTTAAAATAAAAATAAAAGTAAAAATCAAGACGAACGGATAATTTGCAATTTTTAAAAAATCTGCTTTAAAATGTAAATTAGTAAACTAAAACTAGTAGTAATATTAAATTATGATATAGTAATTTTTATCATTGATTGAAGCATACAATTGTAGTTGAGTTTGTATTTAAGTTAAGATTTTTTGTCAAAAGATTGTGATGTATGTAAATTAAAAGTCCTAAATTGTTCTAATTTGTATAAACTTATAGCAACGCAAACATTGTTTTCTGTTTTTGATAAAAAGTTTACTTCAACAATTCCGCGATCAACAGAGTTTTTTAGGTCCAGCTTCAATCGTTTTCTAGCAACTTCCGCTGATTCACGATGATGACGTACACGTTTCGAATCATTACTTCCCTCTTCATCTTCCACTTCCACTTCTTCCTGCTCATTCTTTAAATTCAAGTAAAGCAAATACCTTTGATAATTGATTCAGTTTATTTTTGCTAATGAGTCCTCTATGTATAACTTCTTTTTCATAAAGCTAAAGCATCCTTACGCCAAATTACATTCGAGAAACTAAGACTTAAATCTATGTTATACAATTACAAAGACTTCGGATGACAGCTGTGCTCTTTCTATAATAAGATAGATAATTTGACAATGAAACTGAGCCCAATTCGGATTGTTGATATAAGTTTTGAACAAGAATGCACAATTTTCACCTTATTAATAGATTCAATGTTATGTCCATTTTCCGCAACATTTCCACTTTTTTGATTTTTCTGATCAAGAACTGAACCATTTGAAGTAGAAGTCGTAGATCTTCTTCGACTACTGCTATTACTGAAACAAATCTTGCTGAAATATGTCCAATTTCTATTTTCTAATCAATTACTGGAAAATTAAATAAAAATTATTATTAGATTAGACAATGACGACCGTCTTGACTAGGAACGCTTAAATATAGTTTCTTAAATCGAGAACTAAGAATAGAGTACAATATTCTTACCCACTGACTTTTATTCTGCCTGCTTATGGCTGGGAGATCTATTGAAAAGTTGATAGATTTGGGATATAACAGAATTCGGGATATAAGTGTTTAAACGACTTTCGAGACAAAAAAAAAACTCTTTTACCTTATCGAAGAGCGCATATTGAACAGTTGTTGACTATGCCTACACCCCTATAAGATAAACAAACTTGAAAAGCATATAATGAATGTCACTACAGAGTTCCAAATGAAGTAGGACGTATTTTGATGTTTCAGCTTCTATTTATAACTGTCATCTATAAATATATGTCATCCACTCACTTCTGAAGATAAAACCTATCAGAATATTGCAATGCGAAAGAGTTCCAACAGATGGCAAGTCAATAATATCTTCACGTCATACACAAGAAAGGTAGATAAGAAAGGGTTATAGAAGAGGAAGGTCACAGATAAGGAAAGAGAACCTCGAATCACAAATAAGTAAGAGCTTAACGAGGTCTGTGATCTTTGAGATGATTCAATTAAAAATCCGGAAAAAACGTAGGTCACTACAATTTTCCTGGCAATCGAAACGTACCGATACACAGCGAGACATGAGACAGAGGGTCACGGACCAACAACATGGTCAAAACTAAATGTCGTGGGTGAAGGAGCTAGTTTGAAGACGGATAAGCCTTGTCTCGATATGATAGTGTGGTATTTGTGATCAAGTCATTTCCAATTCCAGAGATCCAGAATATTTTCCTCCGTAAAAAACAAGACTACATCTTGATAGCTTCAAAGACAATAAAGTTACCTTTTATATATGATTGAAAAAGGTATGTAAGGCAAATTGATGACATTTTATTAAAGAAAACTGTGAGGAGCTGAAATTTGTCTCGAGAGATGTTGGATTGTCATACCTTTCTTTCTTGATGTTTATCATGACACCATTTTCAAATCTTATTTTAATTTCAAGCTTCAATTTTGCTCTTCTAAATGTCTCACACTAATTCATCTTTGTTGTTCCATTCGTTCTTTCTTGTTTTTTTTTTTTTGCATATTGCTTTGCAGTCATGATAAATTGCGATATAGAATAATCATTGTAGGACTCAACACAACCTGAGACCTTTCTTTTTAAGTGAGAATAAAAATATAACATGGCTTTTAAAGGGGAAATGATAAGTTATCAAATGAAACCGTGGAGGATCTTGTGTTGAACTTAATTATCACAAAGTGTACAAGAGAAGATGATATACGGGGAAGCAAAAGCCACCGAAAACGATTCCTTGATTAATTCTTCATAAACAGAAACTTGAACTAAATCAGAAATTAAAATGAATTAAAAATATAGGTGTAACGTACACGTTATAACATCAAATAGAAAAACATTTCAGAACTCATTAAGTTTGTCAAATATTGCTACAAACAATACACATGTAAAACACTATCAGTAGTTGCATGAAATATAATAAAACTGAAATTTAATTCTGCTATTTAAATTCTAGGCTTCATAAACGATGTAGCATGTCAAGTGAGGCTATTTCCCCGGAGATTTCCGATCCTGTCAAAAACACTTTCAGGAGATTTTTGATTCTGTTATGAATCTTTTCCATTTTACAAATGGTGTTGGAAATTTTTTTGAAGAGATTTTCTAATTTGTCGTACATCACTTCACGATTGTTCTTCTTCTCCAATCATTCATTTTTTCCTTTCACTCATCCAAAAAAAAAAGATTAACTTATAGCAATACATTTCAACTGAAAATTGAATAAACTAACAATAAACATAACAAATACATTTCTCTCAAACGTAACATCTAAGTATTACAATCAAAATTTGCAAATACTTCTGAAATTTGACCATCTTCTATTAATGATAACTTATAACATTGAATGTAATAAAATATTAATACCTAAACTATATCTTGCTGACTTAATTTCTCCTTAGCTTCACAATGATTTTCAGATTTCACTTCTACAAGTAAAGCCCAAGGTTCTGGCTCAGCGCTACATAACCAGCAAAATATTGCATTACATAGCATTAAAACGAAAGCTGTCATGAATACGATATAACGCCATTCTCGTATGGTATTGTTTGGTGCTAATGTACTGACCACAAATGGTACCGCAAGCATACTGAGACATATTACAAGCTGCAATTAAATATTCTATTTATATTAATAAAAAATATTATCTCCATTTTTGATATCTTTAAGTCAAGCTTTCGTAATTTTTGTGAATTGTTCATAAAAAGAAGAAACATGGAATTTGACTAATATGGAGATGATCTGAATTATTAATATAACAATATCAATCAAGATCAATGCAATTTGGGTCATACAGTTGAATCCTGGACCCATTTTAGAATACCACATGGAATTACTGATGTAAACTTATCACTACTCCTACTGATGATTCGAATTGTATCACACTAAGTAGCCAAGTAGTGGTACTGCTAATATCGGTTTATTTACAAATCTTCAACAGTAATATTACCTAATCATCTCACTCTCAATCAATGATTAGCATTCTAGTAATCCTACAAATTTTTCAAATATCGTTGAAATTAATTGATAGCAAAAAACAGACTTGAACAACAACCATAACAAATTCGGTAAATGTGCGAGCAATTAATGTGGCTGATTTCATAGAACCACAAGCAATTAATCCAATGCAGCTTACAGCACCCGTAAAGCAAATGAGAGCAATTCCAACATGATCTGAATTTAGAAAGCCAAGTGGTAGCAGAAACAAAGCACATCCTACCATTGCTGCCGTGTTAAATAATTGAAGCTTGAACTTCTCCTGCAAATTATTTATTTATTATTTAATTATAAGAATAATTTTCTATTCGTAGCAATTACATATTATTTGGAATTAATTTAAATCATATTTCATGATAAACATGGTATTCTTTTCTGTAGATAGTTGCATTTTCATTTATTAAGATATCGGATACTTGAATAATATTATTTTGATATTTGAAGAATACTTACTTACTCTATTCCGTATGAACTTATATGCAACATAATAATAGTTCTCTTTTTCAAACAGTTTCTGATTTAATCCAATCAATGATTTCGAGTTTTAAGTTCTATTATTATAATTAGCAGCAGATTGTAAATTCAAATTTTGCTATATGCATTTACATTAAAAATGTTTAATAATTTAAAAGTGATATATAATTGGACTAAAACAATGAAATATATAAAAATTTTCAATACATTGAATGAACTTACCGAAATGCAGATTATTTTATCAGAAAGAATACCAGCGATCATTTTAACAATTAACTGAACGATTGGTGGTAATATTGCTGATAGACCAGTCTGTTCGATTGGAACTGCCAAAGTTTTATTCAAATATGTTGGCATATATCTATAAATAATCGAATATACAAATTATTAATCAATAAGCTATTATTATCGTTTTCTAAAAGACTCAGTGAAATGGTTACGATAAGATTAAAAATAATAATTAAATTTTTGGATATCAATTATATAATTTATTTCTAATGAGCTATGGTTTTTTTTTTTCTTTTTATACAATTTATTTAGACATATTGATATATCTATAATATTCTTCAACATCACTTATATAAACTCCAATATTTAAGCAATGAATTTAAATTTGTTTCAAAAATTTCAATTAACAATTGAGAAATTATAAATGATGAAAATGAGACATACTGAACAACAAGTTGAAATCCGAATGCATTCCCAAAAAACGCAATCCATACAGCCCAAACGGAACGACTGGTTGCAATGGATCGATACGGTATTACGATCTCTTTGCGATGCTTACGTTGTGCTGTAGAAAAAATAACTTCTGTAGCATGTAGTACGTGCGAAAGTATTTAGAACAAAGATTAAGGATAAAATATGCAAATTTAATTTCAATTCAGTATTTTAATTTTTAGTTATCTTCTAGAATGGAGTGAAAAACGGACAGATAATATTGACAATTGATCGGATAGGTAAATGATAAAGGTGTTCTAGTCGAACATCTAATAAATGGATATATTAAAATCAATAGAATGAACGTTAGTGTCATTAATGTTCAATCTGTGATCATACTAAATTATGATAAGATCAATACGCAAATCTGCATTGCTATCAATGCTCAAATATCTGAAATAATTAATAAATTTGAAATAACGAAATAAATTTTACAAAATCTTTCAATCATCCTGGAGAGAAGCAGTACAAATTTATGATTGCTAGTAGTACCAGACTTAGGCGTAATTATGATCAAATTAGATGCAAATAAAAATATATCATCAAATCATGATGATACTACGAAAGGAAATCAGTGTTTCAAAATATAAGATCGACTGATGAGAAATGAAGGGAAGCCATAAGTTGCAATTCTCATAAAAAAGATAAGAATACAAGATTTATGTTATATGTTACAAATGATCTTCTACCTGTCTATTTCTTAGAAAATGATTCATTATAGTAGTTAAGTTACAATTTTATATCTTAAGCATAGAGAGTTAAATTAATTTACTATTTGCAATAATAGGAATTAAACTTAAAATGCTTTCAATAATTAGTTAGTTTAAACCTATTACTCGTTAAGATAATTTAAAGAGTGAAAATGACTACATATAGATTTTTAAAGTCGAAGTTTTATCAAAAAGCTAACCTCCTTCAGTGATGAGAAGTATCTCGTAGGCAGAAATGCATGGATGTTTCACAGGATCATTACGATAAAAAGCAAAAAAGCTAATTGCTAAAATGGCAGATATAACTGCTGGTACATAAAAGGCGGAAGGCCATCCAAAGTTAACACATAAATGTGCCGCTAATGGCATCGTAA